TCTCTGGTAGAAATTATGAACTATACAAAGATAGGAAAGGGTAACAAGATGTAAGAGACATATGGCTTTGAAAAGAATTACGGTTATAAAGGATTATGGCATCATGAGGTCAACATGAAACAAACAATCAACAAAACTTTAATGTGATTCATGCACAGTAATTTAGCTTGCAAGATAGAGGAAGCAAACCTCTCTGCTCTACTCTGCAGGAACACCCCATCATTGGTCAACACATATCAAAGGTATCAACTGAATGCTGTCCTCTGCATTCTCACCAACAAAAATGGTCAGATGCTCAGAAAAGATAACTTGAAAGACTAGGGAAAAAGGAGTAAAGCATCCCTGTCAGTGTTCAAGGCCAGGCTGGATGGGGCCTTTAACAACCTGATCTAATGGGAGGTGTCCCTGGTCATGGCAGGGGGTTGGAAGTAGATGATCTTAAGGTCCTCTCCAACCCCAACCATTCTAGGATTCTACAATTTTTTTCTAAGCAAAACCAGCACAATGACATTTGATCTAAGGAGGAGGAGACTGAGAAGAAATATTGATTCTTGACTGCTGCTAGTCTTTAAAACAAGCAGATAAACTCATGCACAGCTTAGATGTAATAATTGGTTCTTCCCCGCTGAATCTTGATAGATGTAACAGATCTCTAAAGATCCTTCCCTATTCTGTGGGTTCTATATAGCTAGCTATAACACACATAAGGACAAAATAAATAATCAACATGTCCATATGGGAAAGTAATTTGGAAATCACTGTCTCCAAAGAGAACATTTGGGAACTGCAAATCAGGCTCTACTGTGCATTTATAGTGCCTAGAAGGGTAATTTGATCTAAAATGCATAAAAGTAGGAATATCAGGTAGAACAAACAATCACCTTTCTTATATACACTATGTTGATCTGATTTTTTAAGAATAGGATGACTTTTCTGGTGTTAAAACTATCTGGAAGTACTGGAAAGATTTTTATGGCTCCTGTTCTCTTGATAAAGAAAAGGGGCCCCTTAATACACAGGTTAAAAACCCTCAGTCTAGGCAAATTCTGAAAGTTTAGAGATTACTTCATTTTTTTCACATATATGGACATACATATATATATACATACATACCCCTAAGACTAATTAAGATGTCTGAAAAGGAGAAAAGATTGGGGGAAAAAAATAATAGATTTTTTTAGGTTCATAGATCAGCTCATAGAAAACTACAATGAACGGAGACTGACATTACACAAATGTATCTTGCAAGGATATTATTTCCTATCAGCAAGAGCAATTGAACTCTGAAAGCTTTTACTACAAGAAATGGACATCACTGCTTCAATTTTTTAAGGTTAGATATTTTTCAGAAAGGTATTCTTATATTCAGCTTTGGGGAGAAAAACGGAACTCCATATCCTCCATATACAAAACATCGAAACAGATTATCACAATTCTCTAACATGGCTTAGCAGCCTTAAAACATCTTTCCCTCAGCTATTCCATTAGATATTTCCTAGTCTATGCGTTTTGCAGCAGAAGAGAACCAGAGGAACTGAATGCAAAAGTGACCTGATGCAGAAATAGGCAGAAAGAATACTTCAGGGTACCTCAAAGGCAATAGCCATATAAAAATCATTCCTTAAATTCCACAAAGAAAGGAACTTTTAAGACTTGGAAAGTAGAAAACTCAAAAGGCCAAGAGAAAAGACACAAGGAGAAAAACGAACATAGTGGGAAGAAGATGCCCACTGTCCATCCGGGAAGAAATGCTGAGTTGCCTCCTGAAAAGGCTCAGGGCACAAAATATGTGCAAAAAGAAATTAAACTTATCTGGTCCCAAAGACTATGGAAAAAAAAAAAATTTCATTTTTCCTAAAAGCTGCCTGACATGTTTCATGTTAATTGTACCTGAGGCTTTCTGTTGTTCCTCCATAAGCTCAAACTTGCCTGATAAAGCAGTTCCAAAGTCACTTTGCTTTCAGGAATGTCACAAAAAGCAAGCAGGCATTTTATTGTTATTGCTGTACTGACTAATCCATGTCTAAGCCTACCCTGTACATTACATATAGTCAGCATTTACATTTTAATTACCGTACAAGCTGTTCCAAAGGAATCTTTCCCTTCCCTATAGTAACAACCAGGAAATAAATTTCCAGTAACAGACTATGTTTCCAAGTGTGGTTATTCGTCATGACAATTTAACCTTCAGGCCATCCTAACAAGTACTGCTAGAACAAATTCTCCCAGCAATGCATCAAGTCGTACTCCAAAACACTGTCAAGGCTGCTACTGGATCCTCAGCAGAACACTTCAGCAATGTAACTAATTCATGCTGCCTACCTGCTAAAGAAAATTTAAGATTGCTAGCACAGCTGGACCTTTTCTGTGACTGCAAAATAGCATATCTAACATTACAACTTACAGGTCCCAGGCTTAAGGTCTCAATATTTTTGCCACTATGTTGTCATAAAAAATTAATAATAATGACATTTTGTATGTCAAAATAAATTATAAAGTGATTGGAAAACAGAACCTAAGTTAAATAGAACTAATTTTTAAAAATTAAGAGATTACTGTAGAAAGGATTCCTTAAAATCTAGTAACATGAGAGATTAAGCTGCAAACACGTATATGACTCCAGAGTACCCAGACATTTACTTATAGAACAGAAGAGGAGAACCTTAGCACTTTTTTGCTGTTTTGCAAGACATGTCAGAGTAAGCTGAGAGAGACAGAATACATACACTCATACTCTATAGCCATGAATAAATATATTTGTGATGGTAAAAGAAATCAAGCCATATATACACTTAAATTAAATTACAGTTAGATTAGATGTGTACTGAAGCTTGGACAGAGTACTCAGAAGGGAGTCCTAAGGGATGATGACATGGGGAGCAGAGCGCCCCCAAACATAAGAATGAAAGGATGTTATAATATCACAGTATCACAGTATGCTAGAGATTGGAAGGGACCTCGAGAGATCATCTAGTCCAATCCCCCTGCCGGAGCAGGAACACCTAGATAATGTTACACAGGAATGTGTCCAGGTGGGTTTTGAATGTCTCCAGGGAAGGAGACTCCACAACCTCCCTGGGCAGCCTGTTCCAGTGCTCCGTCACCCTCACTGAGAAGAGGTTTCTTCTCAAGTTTAAGTGGAACCTCTTGTGTTCCAGTTTGCACCCATTACCCCTTGGCCTATCATTGTTTGCCGCTGAGTAGAGCCTGTCTCCATCCTCGTGACACTCCCCCTTTATATATTTATAGACACTTCTAAGGTCACCCCTCAGTCTCCTCCAAACTGTAGAGACCCAGCTCCCTCAGTCTTTCCTCATAAGGGAGATGCTCCACTCCCTTAATCATCTTCGTTGCCCTGCGCTGGACTCTCTCCAGCAGCTCCCTGTCCTTCTTGAACTGAGGGGCCCAGAACTGGACACAATATTCCAGATGGGGTCTCACCAGGGCAGAGTAGAGGGGAAGGAGGACCTCTCTCGACCTACTAACCACCCCCCTTCTAATACACCCCAGGATGCCATTGGCCTTCTTAGCCACAAGGGCACAGTGTTGGCTCATGGTCATCCTGTCGTCCACTAGGACCCCCAGGTCCCTCTCCCCTACACTGCTCTCTAACAGGTCGTTTCCCAACCTATACTGGACCCTGGGGTTGTTCCTGCCCAGATGCAGGACTCTACACTTTCCCTTGTTATATTTCATCAAGTTATTCCCTGTCCAACTCTCCAGCCTGTCCAGGTCTCGCTGGATGGCAGCACAGCCTTCTGGTGTGTCAGCCACTCCTCCCAGCTTAGTGTCATCAGCAAACTTGCTGATAGTACACTCAATTCCCTCATCTAAATCGTTGATGAATATATTAAATAATACTGGTCCTAGTACTGAGTACTTGAGGCACTCCACTAGTTACAGGCCTCCAACTAGACTCAGCCCCATAGACTACAACTCTCTGGCTTCTCTCCTTCAGCCAGTTCACAGTCCACCTCACTACCTGATCATCCAGTCCACACTTCCTCAATTTAGCCGTGAGGATGCTGTGGGAGACTGTGTCAAATGCTTTGCTGAAGTCAAGGTAGACCACATCCACCGCTCTGCCATCATCCATCCACCGTGTTATTTCCTCATAAAAGGCTAAGAGATTGGTCAAACATGATTTCCCCCTGGTGAAGCCATGTTGACTGCCCCTCATAACCCTCTTATCCTTGATATGCCTTAAGATGGCACCAAGGATAAGGTGTTCCATCACTTTCCCAGGGATGGAGGTGAGGCTGACCGGTCTATAGTTACCTGGGTCCTCCTTCTTGCCCTTTTTGAAGACTGGAGTGACATTTGCTTTCCTCCAGTCCTCAGGCACCTCTCCCGTAATATAGGGTTATCAAGCTTTCAGAGACTGCTAAGAGATGCAGGGGAATGCAGGAGGGACATACAAAGATAAGGAGTCACAGACAGCGTTAAGTGTGGTACATGTTAGATGAGAAACCAGCTACGGAAAGAACTTTGTGATCTGGGGCTGAAGTCACATGCAAGAAAATAACAGGAGATCCCAAATTTCTTCAGAGTAAAATTGTGATTTCATAATACCAGCCAGGCCTATGATTGTCTTACATCAATCTCAGTAATAAAATATTTAGGATTTGGAATCGTATGCATATCTACCACATCTTTCTAAAAGAGTGCTATAAATCCACAGAACAGAGGGTGATATGGAAAGGTGCCCTTCAAAAAAAACAGGCCTAGAGCAGCTCAATCCTGAAGTCCCATTTCTCCCTGAATAAAATTCTAAGTTCATGGAACTCAGAAAATATAAAAGAAATATAAAAACTTGTTCTATATGTGATATGGAGATAACAGAATGTGAAGGAGTTTAAAAATGTGAAGAAATACATATATATATATGTATAAAAATGTAACAAATTATGGCACATATTACTGACCTGAATTAATGAAGAGAATGAAAATGTCATCAGCCAGGCATACAAGAAAAGAACAAGCTGACTATGCTAAAGCACTCCTGGAGCTGAGCCATCTAACAAACACAGGAAACATTCTGGGAGATAAAACGCTCCACCAAGCATTCTGAGACAAAGGGTTTGTTTATAAGATGGGGATTTTTCACAGTATTTTAAGGTAGGTTCTGCTCCTCTTTTCAATGTTTTGGTTACTTTACAGCCACTTCAACAGCTTTCAATTTAATATTATGAATTTCTAAAACTTCAAGATTATCAAAACCTCTAAAATTCTGCTTTTAAATGTTCATAACACTTTAATTGAACTTCAGATGTCTTATAGACAGTGCGTCCTACGCAGAACAACAGTGTAGTATCACTAAAGCAGAAGCCTGAGTGATAGTACAGCAAATGACATTAAAAGAAAAGCATCACTTTCTAATGTGTTTTGGATAATCGCTTTTAATGTAGATACTTAACATCAGTTCATATTAACTGGACTCCAATTAAATGCTGTAAACATTCTTATTTTATTTTATTTTTAAGCTGAAGGTTGAATTTTAAATTCTTGCTAATTTATTATCCAGGGGATGCATTAGCAGCAATACCTCCTTACTGAGTTAGGACATACACATATTACAGGGTATTTGTCAGCATATTACAAGTATTTGTCAGCTGAACAGGCCAACCAGGACTTGTCTGCTTTGGTCAAGACTTATTTTCACATGGAAGCTAAGAACATATGCAACCTACCTAGGAAGAACAACTCTGAACTTTGCAAAACAGTCAGGCTATTGGTTTATTTTTTACCCCAGCATCTGTACCAATGCCAACACTGCATACGTGTTCCCTAGTCAAACTACTTCAACCAGCCAATATAAAATTCCTGGGAGATCAAATACTCAGTCCTCCAGAATCCAGAGCAGGTTTGAGTTTTTTACTTAACATAAAATTCATGTTGCAATGCTGTTATTCTAGGAAGCAAACTAACATTTCACATACTTTTCCTAATACTAAGCCTGTGGACAAAGAAGCAGTACTGTATTGTACTGTATAACAGTGTATAGGCTTGTATTTTAATTGCTAGTGCAAAACCGTTCAGCCTACCATTTATTGATTCATAGTGCTCTGACAGTCCTAGGAAAGGTTGTAACATATTCATATTTCTGATTTTCATATGTAAATTAGATTTTTAAAATAGGGCTTAATTACAGCTTAAATTCCCCCTCCTTCCCCATGATGAAGAGATACAGTCACACAGCTTTTACTGTAGGATAAAGCTGATGAAAGTGATTAAAATAGAACTTGCTGTACAGTTGCTCAGAACCATGCTCTTGTTTTCTGCAGCTTCAGCATTTCCAGAACTTGCAGGAAGGCATAAATAGACTACAACAATGAAACAGAGCTCCACCAGAGAGCTGAGACAATGTACGCAAATACAGGAACTTCCCTTTTTCAACTTTTGATAGTCCCTAACCCATATAATATCCTGCATGAAAAAGTTTAGAAGATATAATTTGGACAGGGGAAAATGCTAAACTTGCCCTTGACTAAAATTTTAGTTTATATTCTAGAATTTAACTGGGCAGTGACTGTGGCGAGGATCACATTTCCTATGTAATTGAAGAGAATGTCAAAACTCAAGGGGACATAATTCAGGTTGCATGAGTGATTTCAAACACAAACAGCACCCTGCATAAAACCCCACTAAGCTGCAGTCCTGGAAACTGTGGCACAATGCTGCTGCCCCATGGTACAGGGATAACTTTATTCACAAACAGAAGTTTCTTTACACATCACAGGCTCTTAGACGCCAGAAGTTCTGGTGAACAGCAATTTTATACCCATATTCTAACTTTAATTTTTCCCCCATTTCACCTCCAGGGGAAAGGAAAACCTACCATGACTACACAACTAGAGTGAAGATTTGTGGACAGAGCCCAGTTTTACCCCCCCTACACCTCCACTCTCACAACTAATCTGACAGCTGCCTCCTATTCCTAGGCAATACCCACAGCTGCTGCAAAGTTTTCATGGGCATGGGACTGCACAAAGGCAAATCCTTCTTTTTAATATTTATACCCCAGAGAAATCTGAGTGGTAGTCATGGTAAAAAAAAAAACAAAAGGCCTCTTGTGTAGTTCAACTGCTGCCTTCAAATATCAAAAAATCTGCTGCAAAAAACTGACATTCTCTCAAAGTCATAACAATCCTTTCCAAGGAAAGGTTAGGGCATATCTATAGAGATTTTGCATATAATATTACCTCAGCAATACAAAGCAATGCTAATTTAGAAAGAGATACAGGTATAGCTATAACCCCCAAATTTATAGTAACAAGAAGAAAAAAATACTTCTATTGCTACAGTTTATAGCTGTGGATAAAATGGAGAATTTGTGATATTGAAATTTTAGACTGACAGAAACATTTCTGAGCATTATAAATAAAACAGGTAGAAATATAGGTAAAAATAGTTAAAAAAGGGGGGGGGGGGGCAAAACCCGAGAAGCCCTAGAAGCTGCAAAACCACTGAAACCTACCTTGATGCAAGGTGATTTCCATCTTCTATTTAATCTATAAGCCAGCCAACCAACCCAATTTACTGAATCATGCACTTTTTCCTCTAAATCAAACCCTACTCAGTGCTTTCTTCAGCCCTGATTTAGTGGCCTCAAACATTAGATTAGTCACTTGTAATCTATCTTTTTGCTTCAAGTCTTTCTTTACTCTTAAGTACACTTACTTCGGGGGATTTCATTCTTTTCCTTCAGTTTTTCAATGCAGAGAGGTTACAGCCACCTGCCTGCATAAGTAAAAACAGAGAAGTGGAGGTTTATGCTACAGTGTTTGGAGTTTTTACAGTGACTGAACAAACTGTTTACATATATTTGCCTTAGTTTCCACTTGAAGCAGAATGGTGTAACTCAGTCCAATCCCTCTGTGCAAGAGTTAATTATTTATCAGCTTCCTCTTGGCAAAGATTACTTTCACCTCTTATTTTAAGGCACTGAGGGTACCAAGGTGTTTCCTGCTTTGTCATTTATCAGAGCAGGCTTATGATTTATTTTAACAAGAAACAAAAGGCTATCACAGAAAGTGTAATGCCCCACATTACAGGGAATATAATTCTAATAACTACCAAGGCAAGCTTCTAACTCTGAATGTTCTCCAACCAAAGCAAGAGCTGTTAATGCATGCTTATCCACAGCACTGTACAGACTGCTGGTATATTCAGGCATTACTTCCCCCCTGTCCATTCTCCCCAGTTGGAATGTTCACAGTATTATGAATAAGTTACACCTAACCCCACAGAGATAACTCACAGTTTTATTTTTGTGTGTATACACTCAGATGTGCACACAGATGTACAAACACTCCATGCCATGTTACTAAAACTCTGGGTTTCTCCTGTCAGGTCTCACCTTCTAACAGGTGTGTACATGCTGTTCCAAAAGCTAGCCTGAAGAAATTAACTCTTCTATGGCTTCCACCTCCATTTCTAGATTAAGATTCCTCATTGTAAGAAATAGTTAGCACCGGCTAATGAAGCCAATGCTTTGGTTAAGCTTTGAAATTGGTACCACACATCTACTATGAAGTCACTAAAGATTTGATAAAATCTGTTTCTTTATTTAGCTTTTAGTTGCTGACACAACAGATATCTTCCTGATTCCTCCAGGAGACATGTAATTAAATTCCAGAATTCATTAAATGTTTGTACACTGCCTATTCCCTGGGCTGCATGACAAAAGATCCTGAACAAGTGAGCATAATTGAAGCTAAACATTTCCCTCATTCAAGGATAAAATTTTGGCCTCTATCTTCTAGAAAAAATCCCAACTTTTTAAAAAAATTCACCTTTTCCTTGAAGATTTAAAAGAAGAAACTTACACAAGAGGCCTTTGCGCTTTTCTCCTCTTAATTTTATCTTTATTATTTGTAAACTACTGCACCCTCTCAGCATAAGGAATTAATCAGTTCTCTGAGCTACCCAACCAATCCACGTTTTGTTTCTCCCAGCCAAGCATCTGTACCTGCCCTTCCCATCTGCTGTTCTTACTCTTGACTTAGCTTACCATATCAACCACTGCAACTTCCCTTACAGTTTCACTAGACAATAGACGGGTGCTTTCCTGAGTGAGGATGCCTTCCGTCTTTTCTATCACTCCACCATCTTTTCCTCATGACTAAACTGAGGTGATAAGATGAAACACATCAAACAGGCTTGTTCATCTCTTTTGTTTAAACGTAAGTTACGCATGCCAGTTTTTCCAAGATTAAAATTAAGATATTAAAAAATTAAGACAAACGCAAAGACAAGCCAAGAGCAAGGACTCCAAATATATATACATACACATCTATATAAAAAATATATAATAACATATATATGCTACATTTGTTCTAAAGCAGACTAGGGAGAAGGCCGTTTAGAGTCAACATGAACACATTCCTACAAACCACTGTAACCATTGTTAAAGATTTACTTGGTTTTGCCTGTGTGCAGCATTACTCAATTGGCCATTTCCATTTCATTTAATAACATAAATGTGATGAAATGCTACAGAACCCAGTGTTGTCAATGCATAACACATTTTAGTCATATGTGTATTGCCCAGGTTAGAAAAACCTGTAAATGTAAGAATCTTAAATGAAAAAAGAAATGACTCTGTAGTATATGAATCCCATAGGCTGAAGAACCAGAAGGAAATAAAACCTAACAAGTCTCAATGTTTTGGGAGGCTGCTGGGAGCCAAGACCAGACTAAGAGGTCAGACTGAGGAACAGAGAGGTTTCCCTACAGCAGAGTCAACAGCTTCAAAACCAAACCACTTAAACATTTTATCATAGTGATCTAACATTAAAATGGAAGACTTAAAATAATTTTCTTAGGCTAGAGTAAAACAAATGTAAGTAATTCCTGGTTTTCTTGCATCTATGGACATGGCCAAAATCTGACATGTATTTCCTGGGGAAGGAAAAAACCCTTTTAAAAGAAAGCGTCTCATTTTGCCTCCAATGCTCATTTTGCTACCACCCAGTAATGCCACCGAGAGCTCTTTATTCTTCCAAATGAGGAGGAGTCACAGAAATACTGTTCCTGTTCTCAACACTACTGATTTAATAATGTGCCATACCACTACTTCTCTATTCTATTCCACCCTGGCTCTCTGTTTAGTTTAAATATTTTCCCTCCTTCTGGTCGTCCTTGCCCCACTCCTCTGTTCACCGTTCTTGTTATTCTATTTTTTTATTTTATTTTTTTAACTAGAATACACCTGGGATTAATTGCTATGATGCTTCTTTATTTCACGCTTTGTCTGCTATTTGACCAAGAATGGAACAGACAGATCTGAGTAGTAAACACAGAGCACAGCCCACCACATTATGTAAACCAAGAATTTGTTTTCCCTTACGTGCCTGTGTTGCACTTGACAGTACAGAATGCCATCTGTGATCCAATCACACTTTTTGACACCCTCTGCTCCCAGCTTCCAGTTTTATTAACCAACTTAGTATCAGCAAATATTTTCTGAGGTTAAGAAAGTGTCACTTAAAATAGCAAAATAAGAACTTTGAGGATTTCCTCACTAGCTTTTTAAAGCCTAGAAAGAAATCTTAAAGCATAGATGCATACTTTAAGCTTACCAAGGCCTAAGTCATGCAAACATAATGCTGGCAAATTAACGAAGCCCTAAATAGTTTTATCAGCAGTAAAACATAATTATAAAAAGTTCTTCTCAAGAGTCCCTACAGCTTACATGAAAAAAAACTAGGGATGGGGTAAGCAGCAAGAGAAGCCCCTTTCTTTAAGCCAGTCTTCAGGAACCTCTGAATCAGCTAACAAGCTTCCCCCCTTCACACAGCTATCTTTAATTACACTAACTTAAGGATATATTCCACTCACCAGTGAGCATAAAAGAAATAAGGTTGCTAGCTCTCTCATTCCTATACAACAGGAAAAACACTTTCTCTATGGCAAAAGTCACTTCTCACTTCTGCTTGTTACATAGCTTATAATTAGCAACAACAACAAATTAGAAATCACAAATACCATTCCCATTCTACTCCTCCATTTGTAGCTGCTGAATTAAACATTTATTTACTTTTTAAGCTTCTGAGGAAATCTATTCTCAGTCACTTTTCGGGGTTAAGAATTTAAACAAAGACACTTGTGCATCACAGAATTTAGAATCTCTTTAATGGTAATTCCTCCATAAGCGCAGGTGTTACTTCCTCATCACTTCACTCCAAAGAGCAAGGAATTTTAATGGGATAGTGGAAGCTTATAAAACCATCACTGAGGGTGCAAATATTTAAGAACGGAATGTTCACTACTGGTTAAGCAGCACCAATAATGTAACAAGGCTAATCTTTTGAAAATGTTGACTCTATTTAGATGAGGAAAATACAGGTACTTAACCAAAAGCTGATTGGTAATTTAAATATTACCAATTACTGCCTTTATCCATATTTAAATATAACAGAAGCAAAACTAGTTATTCAGGGTGGATGGTGGGGGCACTGAACTTGGGTTTAAAGAGCTTTCTGGCTGTCAGTTTCTCTTGTCTCTAACCTTCCCTCTGATCCATTGCTGTTCTCATTCTCCTATGTATCTTTCCTCTTCCTCCTGAAGACAATAACCCCTATGGTCAATGTTCCTGTATTTTGTGCTTGCTCAAACCCTTGTTACTTGATAAACCCCACAAGTTCCTGCTTCACAAACTAGCTTTTCACAGCCTTCTGGTTCTGCATGCACCTCATCTGAACCACAACAAAAATCCTACCTACTTTCCATGTAATCTTCTTCCTTGTTTTTTTTTTTTTTTGAGAAGTAGGTTAATGAGTTCTGATGTATTCAGTTATGGCAGATACTTTGTCAGCTGGAACATTCACTGCAGTTTATCAAATCTCTCTTAATACAGTTATGGTCTGAAGTTACTGTAACAAAGGACTTCACAGGGGTTTAAGTCCTTAATTTATTTTTTTTTTTTTGGGGGGGGGCGGAGGGAAGCAGCAGCAGCCACAGCTCACTAAAACACGATCAGGAATGGTAACTTGGTATTTACAGGAACAATGAAAGACATTATTGCAAGTGTAAACAAAATTTTACAGAACAGACATAAAAACAGTTTAAAATGAATAACTGCTTTCAGTATAAGCTGAAGTCAGTACATTATGAAATCTGAAAAACAACTTTCAGCTCTAGTTAAGACACAGGAAAGTTCTTCAATACCATACATACCCACCCAGAAAAATACAAAACAGATCTAGACAACTCACACAGGCCACACTGTACTCGGAAGAAAAAAACAAAAACACCCCCAAAATAACTGCCCTGAACTCATTTAGCTCAAGCATTTGTTACAAAGAGGTTAACTGTGCTCATTCAAGTTTATTTGGATATTAAATGCAAGATAAAAAATCTCTAGATGAAACGTAAAAAGATCGTATCTTATTTTTAGGAGATAAACATATTCGAGAGGTGTGTTCCAGCTCAGCCAATCCCGAGGCTGTTGTGCAGCTCTGCCACCTCTCTAAGCCCAATCGCAGCTCCGAAGGGAAACTCGGCTCTGCTGTTTGCCTCAGCAGTGCTGATGATGAATGGCTGCTTCGGGGTAGAGATCAAGCTGTGTGGTAAATCTTTCTATTTGTTCCATTTGCCTTTCTATTTTAAACAGCTTCAGTGGTCTGTCTTGGCACCCTACATTAAGTACATGTGAATTTCATAAGAGAAAACATTTATGTAAGTGAAAACATGGCTTTAATTTGTCCTCTCATTCTCAAACTGAACAGTGGAACTTCCATAAGCAGCTGTGGAAATTTACTATTATTTTGTATCCACCTTTCAGAAAAGGTATAGCATAACATAACTTGATTGTACAGTTTTTGAAAGGTCAGCTTTGCAGTGATAGCAGGTTTTAAGATGATGGCGTTCTCCACCTTTCTTCCTCCTGCCACTGTGACTTTGCAATATGACTTTTAGGATGGCAGGAGAAATAACATGCAAGCAGAGTATGTTTATTAGAATATGCCCTTCAAATATACAAAGACCTAACATACAAGCCTTGCTTATCTTCCGGCTGTGCTAGCATAATGTATGCCAACTGAGCCTGGCACCAAAGTTCACCATTTTAAAGGAATGCTTTACACTAAAACCTGCTACTAATTTCTAAACTGAAGAGACTAGCAAACACCCAGAGACAAGCAATGGGGTTTTTCTTTTGCTTTGAAACACCATTCTTGACTTAAACCCAGAATTTCTGGCCAGATTACAGTTTGGCCAAATCCTGCTTTCTCTTATACTTCCAGTATGGTGTTCTTTGTATCCTGACATCTCAAAGCTAGCTAACGTTTCAGTGGCCAACAAAAAAAGCTCAGTGCCTTGATGGAAATTACTCATACTCTAGTTCTCTCCCCCAGCTTCCATTGTTTCTTTGAAAGCTTGAACATGTTTAGCCACTTCTGAATTAAGGCAAATTAAAAGTGAATGAAAGTAAATTAAAAGTGAAATGCCAATAAATTGAAATGAAAGGGGAAATATCAACACTGTAGGTTGCCTGTTCATAATATCAAAAGAAATTACTACATCTCTTATTTGACGTAACTTCCACCAAATTCCATTTATCTCTAACTTTGTTCTGTTTTCTTAAGCGCAGTAGTATATAAAACTTCTCTGGAAGTACTGCGGTGTCAAGTAAACATTTCTCTAACTTTATCCAAGCAGCTTTTCACATAACTTAAAATTACTGTAAAGTTTCAAGAGTGTTAATTCCATTGATAAGCAAGCTGAAATAGGGCTATTAATTCATCCAAGATCACACAGCAAATTGGTGAGTGACAGGGCCAGGAACAGAACTCATCTGTACTCCCAGGCCAGTCCCAGAATTGTTATGCCCATTTCAGTATTACTAAAGAAGCAGAAGGTACATTTCTGGGGAGAAAAGCCAAGGGAAGATTTCTTAGTAAGGAGTCTGGAAGAAGCCAGTGAGAACACCGATGTGCCAAGTCCTTGAGAGATCAAAGTCTCCATTATATTTCCAGTCCCTTCTTACAACAAACCAACACACTGAAGTATCTTTCAACAGGACACACTAATGGGAATGTAATACCAAGCCCTCAGAAGTTAAGATAAGATCTTAAAGGCTACCTACAATGGCTTTGATTACCAGAATTTGCAGCTGACAAGTTCATAGATTCACTGTGAAATTTTGCAAATACAATGACTGAACAACAAAATAACCACAACCCCAGTGCTAATCTCTTAGGAAGAAATCAAAATAATTTCATTAGAGAATTGTCTGTTTGTACAGCTTATATTACAGTAGCATGCAAGTTTCATTTTAGAAAGTATTTTAATCTTTAAATCAGTTTTAAGATTGTTCAAGGAATTTACCACCTTCAAGAAAAATTCCAGGACAGGGATTGTGTTCTGTGTTCAGACAGGCAAACTAGACATTTTGAATGGTATTCTAATGGTAAGACAAAACACAGTTAAGTCATGCTAACAAGGGGTTTTCGTTTGGTTCACCAGTAAGCATTGGAGAAATAGTGCAAAAAAGCTCTGCACAAGCATCTTGAATAAAACATGTCAAAGTAACCTAGAAGGAAAACAAACAAAAAAACAAAACACACACAACTAAAAATGTACTACTATATTTGTCTGCTTTCAGCCCTTAGAGCTGTGTTGTCATGCTCTGTCAAGGAGCTGCAACTAA